TATTTATTTATAGAAAGGCTTTTTTGTTATGGGGTGTGTGTGTCACCAGAGAAACAAAGAAAGAGAGAGATAGAAGGCAAGAAATAACTATCCCCCCCACCCCAGGGGAGATGGCCACACCACAATCCCTTCTTTTCCAGTCTCCTCTCAGGATCTTGGGCATGCATGCACACACACCAGACATGAGTTTGAAGCTGCTAGGTCTGGAACTCTAACCATGGCTGACTACGTGGGTGTCTAGTGATGTAACCATTATACCATCTGCTGGTCCTAAGAAGTTACTTATTATTAGCAGTGAGGTTAGACATCCTTATTTCATTACCAACATTGTGACCTTATTTTCAGACACTATCCAACTGGAGATATTCTTCGTCATGTTAAGAAAATACAATTCTATGTCTACTTGACTAATTTTATCAAGAGTAAAGTGAATTTTAGTCAGTTTTTAAGTAAGTGTTAGGGGGCCAGCAAGTGGTATGCTTGGGTGGCTGAATCCCACATGGTCAACTGTAGCTGGCCCAAGCCCCAGACTCAGCAGCTTGAAAAACATGCCAGGTACTTTCGCCTGCATACCTAAAACTCTGAGAGAATGGGGAAGGCATTGTGGCATGGCCAGCCCTCCTGTAGGGTAGGGTGCTTTTCCACTTTCCTTTCTTTCTCTCCTCTCTCCAGCATGCACAGGCCTTATAGCAAAAACAAAAAGAAAAAGAAAAAAGAAAGAAAGAAAGAAAAAGAAAAGAGATAAAGAAAGAAATAAAAAATCAGATTGGGAACTGAAACAAATAGCATGCGGGACCAACTCTGAGGCCTGATGGTTGAGGCAACCAGATCAAGTGCCAGACCCAGTAGCTTGAGAAATGTACTGGGTACATATGTGTGCATGCCCAAAATCCTGAAAGGAGGGAGAGATGGCAGAGAAGGGATTGTGTAGTGACCATTCTCCATGGTGGGGGTGCCTTCTCTTCTCCTCTCTCTGGAGAGTATACATGCCCTCCAGCAATCAATAACATGAAAATGAGCTCAAAGTTTCTAGAAAGGAAAACTACCTTAATTGTTTTTATATCTTTTTAAAAATTTTTTAAAAATTTTATTTATTCATTCTTTTTTTTTTTTTAATTTGACCATAGAGAGACACAGCAAGAGAGAGAGGGAAAGTGAGAAAGCAAGCCACCAGGTCCAGGACTCAAACCATGGTCAGCCATGTGGGAGTGTCCAGCACCTTAACCACCACTCCACCTGCTGGTCCCAGTGAAAAAGAATTCCGTTTAGGCAAGAGGTGTGCTTACGTGTACAAAGCAAAAAACCAACACAGTGATTCCTGGTGGCAAACCAAATAAAACCAGAGTAATCTGGGGAAAGGTTACCCATGCCCGTGTAAACAGTGGCATGGTTCGAGCCAAATTCCGAAGCAACCTCCCTGCTAAGGCCATTGGACACAGAATTCATGTGATGCTGTTCTCTTCAAGGATTTAAAATAAAACGTAAATGAAGTAAAAAGTAATGATTTTACACATTCCAAAATTATACATAATATAATGATTCAACAGTGAACTGTTCTTTAAAGGATGCTATGTCTAAAACTTCAAATTTCAGATTGATATTGAGACCCATAAATTTTTTTTTTTTTTGAGAGGTTTTTGCTATAGGGCACATGTGCTAGCCAGAAAGACAAAAGGGGAGAAATCACTCCCTGGGGGGGATGGCCACACTGCAATCCCTTCTCCATTCTCCTGAGATCTTGGGCACACATGCACACGTGCCCAGCATGAGTTTAAGCCACTGGGTCCGGGACTTGAACCACAGTCGAATACATGCGAGTCCAGCGATATAGCCATTACGCCACTGCTGGTCCCGAGACTCATAAATGCTTTCATTACTACAATGAAAAATTTTAGTAGACTGACAGATTTATCTGAATAAAAAATATATGTATTACTTTCTAAATACTTCCTCTCTCCCACTTCTGGCTTTGTTCTTGGTTCCTAGGTCTATTTTAGCTTTAGTTTGACTCTGCCAGGCCTTTTCACATCACTTAAATGTGCTACTGATTCTCCACCCAGAAACCTTATTGCTGGTCTCATGTGCTACGTTTGTCACAAGGATATGGTCAGTTGGGAACCAGCAGTTAGCGTAATGGCTATGTCGTTGGACTCCCACGTAGTTGACCGCAGTTCGAGTCCCAGACTCGGTGGCTTAAAACTCACGCCAGGCGTGTGTGTGTACATGCCCAAGATCCTGAGAGGAGAATGGAGAAGGGATTGCGGCGTGACCATCCCCCTTGGGGGGGTGATTTCTCGCTATCTGTCTCTATGTCTCTCTCTGTCTGGCGAGTGCACATGCCCTATAGCAAAAAACCTCTCCAAAAACAAAAAAAGGATATGGTCAGTTGATGTCTCCTTTGCACTCATTTGGACTTAGGGACCAGAAGTCTTTGTTGTCCCAGTGTCAGTCTCCCTTTTGACATAAAGGCCATTGAAATCTGCTTTGGCATCTTACACAAGAGGACTAGTGGATAAAATCATTAATGTTAAAAAGTATGTATGTTGGGACCAGCAGTTAGTGTAATGGCTATGTTGCTGGACTCCCACGTAGTCGACTGCGGTTCACGCCGGGCACGTGTGCGTGCATGCCCAAGATCCCGAGAGGAGAATGGAGAAGGGATTGTGGTGTGGCCATCCCCCCGGGGGGTGATTTCTCACTTTCTCTCTGTCTCTCTCTCTCTGGCGAACACCCTGTAGCAAAAAAAACTCTCCAAAAAAAAAAAGTATGTATGTTAAAGTGTGGATGTAGGGAACCAGCAGTTAGCGTAATGGCTATGTTGCTGGACTCCCACATAGTTGACCGTGGTTCGCGTCCCGGACCCAGTGGCTTAAAACTCACGCCAGGTGTGAGTGTGTGCATGCCCAAGATCCCGAGAGAACAGAGGAGAAGGGATTGTGGCATGACCATCCCCCCTGGGGGGTGATTTCTCGCTTTCTGTCTGTCTCTGTCTGGCGAGCACACGCGCCCTATAGTGAAAAAACCTCTCAAAAAAAAAAGTGTGGATGTAAAAAAACACTTAACTTGGTCATACCTTGCAGTGTCCTCATGGGAGCCTGCAGTAAGAGACTTGGATGGGCCCTTTGACAGAAAACTACAAGGGAAGGATCAGGAGTCCTGCCCCTCAGTAGCAGGCTGCTCCCTGAAGTTCCTGTCAGTGTGGTCTTACATTGACCTCCGTGTCAGAGAGAAATCTTTTGCCAGGATTATATGTACAGTTGGCACTGATAAAGAGCAGTCCTTATGTTCCAGGGATGGTGCTCAGTTCTAAGTGTTTTACATGCAGTATTTTGTGTGACATCTCACTAAATAGTGGTGAATACCAGGATGCCTGTGAAGTTTGCCAGGAGAGGAGCTAGGTTAGGGACTGGTTGAAGGATTCCATAGGAGACCCTTTTCAATGCCCAGGACAAACACCTGCGGGTCCTCTTGGTTTCAGCTTCAAGCTGTCATGTTACAAGGAAAAATAATGCTGGGTAGACCACACGCTAAGACATTTGTGGATGATGCTGTGGGAGGGAGGAAGAGCAGAGGAGATACTTTCCATTCTCATGTGACTTATAACCCACCTAAATTGCCATCTTAGCTGGAGTGCTTAGTAGCGACTTCAACTTTACACCACTCTAGCCAATTAATGGTATTGTATTTTGAAATTGTGTATGAAATACACAGCCCTGTCCTGCTCCACTGGACCTTGGTCTTGCTCCTACTCCTGTTGATCATAACCATTTCTAATCCTGAACCCCTGCCTGCCCTTCAACCCCTACACTACCACTGCCTTCCTCCTGTGAACAAGGTAGCTACGAGAAAGGGGGAGAAACTTTTTGTTTTTAATTTGCCAGAGGGTATGCGCACTCTGAGAAATAGAAAGAGAGGGAACATGAGAAAGCATTCCCTATGGGGGATGGCCATACCACAACCCCTTCTTCTTCCTTTTGGAATTCTGGGCGCACACATACTGTGTATTTCTTAAGCTATGGAGTCCAGGATTCAAATCTCGCAGTTGGTCACGTGGGATTCAGCTGCTTCAACCACCACCACCGCCATCAGCTGGCCTGAGAAGCAGTATAAACTTTTAAAAACTGGCTCATAAAAACATACTAATCTGAGGCAGGGCTGAGATGAGACTAATAAGAATGGAGGGATGTGGGGCTGTTTCATTATCTATTCTCGCCAAACAACCTACTATAGATACCTTCTTTCAGGGCCATTTCCTGAGATGTTTTCCTGGCATCAGACTTCCTACTCCTAGACTACCTCCTAGTATTCTCTCTTTCCCCGAAAACACATTCCTAGAATTTCTATTCCTAGTTTCCCATGCTAAAATTGTCATGACATTTTCCAGATTTTCTGTGCAAAAATGTGTCATGACTTTTCCAGTGACCCAATATAATCCTTTTCCCTAATATTGCCCTCACATATATCCTCCTACCATTAATGGTTGGTTACCCAGTTGTATTAGGACCATCTTAGCTTCCTTCCTGGGAACCAGTTACAAGACCAAAGTACCCTCTTTGAAGAGCCAGATCTTCCTCAGCTACTTCACAAGACCATACACATTCTAAATGAAGAATTGAAAAACATTTTCACTGCTGTACACCACAGAAGAGAGAATACTTTTTGAAAAACCTACAACATTATCACTCACTCCCAGCAGCCATTCAGCTCAATCCTTTGCTACCACAGTCCTAGCCTACAGCCCATCAGTCCCACACCTCCCTTAGTAGAACTGCTGTCACCTTTGTTAGAACTTGCCTGACCAAACAAGTAAGTCCATAGAAAGCAGGACCTCTTGTCAAAGCTGAGCGCACACACATCAACACTGGGTTCAAGACAAAGGCCCTCAATGAAGATGCATAGACATTCATGTTTCCTAAAGATATTTATTACCATCCAAACATTTTCAGTAGGGAAGGACATAATCCCTAATTCCCTTCGGACTTATTTTTTCAGTTTCCCAGGGAATCCATCTTTCATGGAACTCTACCCAGGAATAAGCCTTCAGAGCTCTATTTATGTGTTTTTGGATACAGGTGGGGAAAGTCTGTTTCTGTAAAGAGTAGACAAATCAGACTCTCATTTCCTCTGCCATTTCTGTGCTTTCCTACAAATTCCACCTTATTTCCCTTATACCTCTGGTTCCTTTTTGTCTGAGGTTACACTTAAACATATGGTCTATCAGTGGGTACTCCTATCAGATCATGGAGGGATGTTGTGATGGCTGACCTGGACTGCCCAGGGCTTCTCAACCACAGCCTTGGGGAGAGGAAGAACTCATAGCCACTCTTTTGTTGACCTCCACCTGGCTCCCCAGGAGACTTGGCCACTCTTCTTTGATCTCAAGGGCCCCAGGAACCCAACTGCTCCTGCTAAATGCCCCAAGTGAGGAAGCAGTAACAGGACAATCACATGGACTCCCCAAGTTACAGGATTAAACACTGGACACAGTAAGACACTCAAATCACACCTTGGCTAAATATACCAAGAGGGTGGGTATATCTTGGAACAGGAAAAACTTAAGAGAATTCCTGCCTGAACAGGTCACCTCCAAAACGCATCTTTTCAAGTGCAGGCAGCACTCCTTAAGTTTTATGCTAACCCTCTGCTGCCTGCACCTCTCTCATAACATGCCTCCCACTTCTCTGTATCAATTACCTGCATAACACAGGGGTCACCTGGTTGCAGGGCAGAGAGAAATCCCATTGTTCCTAACCGGTGTGTGTTCTCTGATGGCTCGTAAGGCGTGAACTCCGAGAGAAGCTTTCTCCACATTCCAAACATTTATAGGGTCTCTCTCCTGTATGTGTTCTCAGGTGACGAATCCGATTGGAGCTGTGAGAGAAACTGTCTCCACACTCATGACAGGTATAGGGTTTTTCTCCCGTGTGAATTCTCTGATGCCTGATTAGGTTGGATCTGTGAGAGAAGTTTTCTCCACACAGTGTACATTTATATGGCTTCTCTCCTGTGTGCGTTCTCTGATGTCTAGTGAGGTGCATACCCTGCCGGAAGCTTTTCCCACAAGTCAAACATTCAAAGAGTTTCTTCTCTGCCTTGTGGGTTCCATGGTTTGTGAGAAAGGTGGTGCTGTCGTTCATGGCTTCCCGACACTCAGAGAAGGGATAAAGTCTCTCCTTCTCATGAGTTCTTTCGTGTATGACAAGGTGTGAGCTTCGAGAGAAACTTTTCCCACATTCGAGACACTTATATGGCCTCTCTCCAGTGTGAATTCTCTGATGTCGAAGGAGATTGGAGCTGTGAGCAAAGATCTCCCCACACTCGGGGCACTTGTAGGGCTTCTCCCCTGTGTGTGTTCTCTGGTGCCGATGGAGGTTGGAGTTACAAGAGAAGCTTTTTCCACACACGTTGCACTGATAGGGCTTCTCACCTGTGTGGGTGCGCTGATGGCGAGTCAGGTGGGTGTTTTGACTGAAGCATTTCCCACACTCAAGGCACTTATGGGCCTCATCCCCTAGGTGTGCTCTGTGCAGTGACAGAAAGTGTGGGTTCCCACCAAAGATCTCGCCGTGCTCTACTCCCCCACACAGCCGTTCTGCTGCGTGTATTCTCTGATGCCTAATTAGGTTTGAGTTATTGGAGAAATTTTTGCCGCACAGGGGACACAAGTGGAGTTTCTTTGGCTGTAGTTCCTTTGGTCGACCCAGGTCTTTGCCACTTGGGGCGCCCACTAAGGACGACGCCATTCGATCCTCTGCAGGAGGCTCCCAATGCCCTTCTGCCCGGTCCTGAGGTCTTCCCTGCTCAGGACTCCAGGGTACCTCCCCTCTGGCCTGGGCAGGGAACAAAGCTTGAGAGTGGATATTTTCAAGGAAAACACACTGAGCACTTTCTTCTGGATTCTCCAATTTCTTTTCTCCTGGCAGAGAAATTAACCCCCAACGTTATTTCTACAGGGGAGAAAAGAAAATCCCCAACATCTGCTACTGCTAGAAGGGCTAGTTCTATCTCAGTTTCTCATCCTCTCCCTAAAAATAAAGCACTCCAGAGAAGCATCTGGATAAAAGGAGAGGGAGGGACTGCTCAAGGAATCAGAGTTTAGATTGTCTTGGCATGCCCTTCTTGGGGCATCCACCTCACTCCACTCCACTGAGTGTCTGGCTTTTTGCCCTTCAGGAATGGGTGGGTTGGAGCAGGGTTGATACTAGGCAAGTGAGTGCCTCCTTCTAGTGTGCACCTGGGTTCACTGCCTGCCTTCCTGGGTAGAGACCCGGCAATACGAGTCCAGGAAGCAAAAGCTCTCTGGCAGCATGGGCTGGCCCTACCCTCAAAAGCCCCACCCTCAACGGTGGGAGCACTGCTGGCAGACTGCTCTTCATTCCTTACCTGGAGTGGGGCTTCTGGGGCTCAGGCCCTCCTTGCAGCTTTGGACTCTGGAGTCCCATTGCTTTCCTCCTTGTTCAACCTGGGTGCTTAGGCCCTCCTGACCAGGAATGTTAGACCCTGTTCATAATGAAAGAAAATAGACTTCTGTAGCACCATTCTCCTCTACCTGGAAAGGAAAAAAAAGTCCTGTTCCCTGCAGGGGATAGGCACAGATTGCTCAATAAATCTGACAGCCATTACTTAGATTATACACCAAACTATTCTCAGTGGTTACCTCTACAGGAAGACATCAGGGAAGAAAGACTTTTTCTTTGTGTTTTCATAGAATATATTTTGGTTTTGGTTTTTTGCAATGATGACCTACACTTAGGTGATTAAACAAACATTGATTAGGGTAGTCTCAGTTTCCTGAAGAACCTGATTTGCTATCATAGAGGAGCCTTGACTCTGGCATATAAATATAAAATAGAACTAAATTCAACTGAGCAACTCCAGAAGGAAAAATATAGCATGATAGACAATCAGAAAAGCATCTGGGGCTCTGAGAGGACCATGAAATTAAAACCCAGAAGTGCCACTTCTACGGTGTGTTAAAAGAAAAACAAAACCTCATTCCACCACCAGCAACCATGGACTCAAACATGTATTTCCAACAAATTATGACTTGACCTTCTCTTCCTATTCAGCATTCACTGTTAGAGCTATACTCAACTGTGGGCATCATCATGACAGAGAAATGACATGAAAAACCTGGAGACAGTCCCACTGAAGAGAAACTGAAGTGACCTTTTTGCAGGATCTGTGCAAATGAGTTTACAGCTGTGATTCTCTTTATGCAAAACTGATGCATGAAAACAAAATGCAACATGACTCTTTCTACCAGCATGTGCTTCAATGCAGCTGTAATGGTAACAGACAGAGTCTGGTTTTATGTTGTTTTTTAAACTTCCCCAACCTTTATTACGAGAAGTTTCAAATATACAGAAAAGTTGAGGGAAGTGTACTGTAAATAACTATGTATTTTCCACCTAAATTCAACATCAGTTTGTTAAATTTCATAAGCATCCTCTCTAATTTCTGCATTATAGGTCAACACATAGATACTCGTAATTTATATTTTATTTAGCCCGTTTTAGATATATACATGGTTTCCAACTTATCACAAGGCCCTTCCCCACTTCTGAATTTTTAAGGACTGTGAGAGCTGATATCTGAAATGTTGATGCCAGTGCCCCTGAAATTTGTCTTTGAGAAAGGGCCTAGAAATACTAATGGAGCACTGAAAACAAAAGGGAGCTCAAAAGACCCCACATCTCAAGATTGCAAAGAACTTCCAGCCACCTTCAGCATGCTGGGATGCCAAGAGTGTGTGACGCAGGCGGTGGATGCTAGATTGACTTGTTCTGCCCAAGGAAGCCCATGATAGTTCAGACTGCCTGCCTTAGGCTCTGGTGCCTTGGGCTAAAGTCCAGGGCTATTCATCAATGTGCCAACTGTGCCATGTGACATATTTAACTGACTCTATAGTGTGGGAACTTTAGACAATGGGAGGTTTCCTGTGACAGCTTTTGGGCAAAACTCAGAGCTCATGTTCAGGTGAGTGTCCAAGGGGTAGGACCCTGGTCAGAAAAGTCATCATCCCTGGAAAAGAAGTCCTTACCCAGTGAGTCCACATTCTCATAACTCTCCTGCACCGTGTCCCTGGAGAGGGCCCTCTTACTAGGATCCTGATGTACCCACTCCTCCTGGGAGATGTACACTGCCACGTCCTCTAAGCTCTCAGGCAACTGAAACAGCACAAGATCTCCTTTAGCCCCTGAGGCACCAAGAACAATTTAAGCAGAATCATGGATTAAGGGGCAAAACCCAGGGGAGCCAAAGACATGTGCCATGGGGAAGAAGGGTGTCAGGCCTGCAAGTGCAGTATGGAGGAGACAGAGAAGGCGGGGAGGTGCTCGTGGTGAATGAGAAAGGATCTTCCAAGTGGCAGAAGCTTCCCAACCCCTAAGAGGAATACTCTGGGGGAGGAGGAAGGGTTCTGGGGGAGACAGTGAGAACTTCCACATCACCTGGGGCCCAGCCATCTGCTTGTCTTCCATGTTCCCTTCAGGAGGAAAGAGAGAAAGCCAGGGAGTAGATAATGCTGAAGGTGACAGAAATCAAAGTGAGAATGGCATTCCTAATTCTTGGCAACCCCAGGGTGATCACAACATAGTATCCATTTCCCAATACCCAGTCTCTGCTCTGAGGGTTGGACACTAAACCAGGGAAGGCAACAGAGGCACTATAAAGGGCTAGTCAAAATGATGGGGGCCGAGTAAAGGAGCACCAGCAGTTTTCCCCACTGGTTCTCAGCACTCCAAACCCCTCATGGTTCATCTAACATCAAATGGCCTCTGTTCTGCATACAAAAGGTCTCTAGTAAGAGATTTTTCCTCCCCCTCCCACTTCCAGAAGAACCCAAACCCCACTTCTAGGTCTTTCCACATGTGAGAACTTCAACTCAGAAACTCCTTAGCCTTGGCACCTGCGTTCCACACTGCTATGTCAGGAGCAACCCCAATCCCCTTCTCCCTCCCACCTGCCCAGATAACTGTTCCTCACCCCTCTCCTTTACAGCCTGGGGGTCCCTTTTGGGGCTGGGGCCTAGCAGCTCCTGCAGCCTGGGGCCAGGGCTTCGCTCAGTCTCCATTGGCTCCAGCTTGAAGCTCGGTGACTCTCCTGCTGTTTCCAGAGGTAAAGGCTCCTCCAAAAGCACTTCTGTTCCCCGCCCATGGTTTGTGACCTGGGAACCAACCCACATCACTCATCATCACAACAGGGCCTAATAAGAAGGGAAATTAACACAGGACTCTGAGGGCAAGCCTTCAACAGGGAACCAAAGGGGACCCCCTTTGGACCCAGTGAGAGAGAAAGATGGTTTACGCTAAGGGTTTTCTTGGGCTGGCCCCATGACCTCGTGGTTAAGGGACATCCCACATAGTCAACTATGCAGCTTGGAAAACACTCAAGTGCATGTGCATGCATGCTCAAAATCCCAACAAGGTGAGAAATGGAGAAGGTATTTTGGTATCACCATGCCCCATTGGGAGTTGCTTTCTCTATCTCTCTGGCTAGCATACATGCTCTGCCAAAAATCAAGAAAACAAAATTACCGACCCCCGTGTACTAATGTACATGGAGGGAAGGTCCACTCCCACCGTACACCTTCCCCACACAGCTTTTCTGATACATCTCACTTCCTTTCTGTCTTCCTCAACTTTTCTAGACAGATGCTTTTATTCCTTACTACCCTACATGCTAAACTTCAGTGGCCCTCGGCAGGAAGTAAGCTCAGTACCTCAGGGCCAAATCATTTTTCTAAGTTCACAGTTAACTGAGAGCCAACTCAGTAGAGGATAGACTACTGACCCTAACGTAACAAAGCTAAGAAGTATCATGTCCTAATTATAAGTCAGTAGTTTGAGCAAAACATTACATACTGCTCTCCCTCTAACCCTCAAAGCAGCCTTAGAAAGTAATGTATCGTATTTAAAGTATTGTATTTAACCAGTGGGAAAACCAAGAATCAAAGAGGTCAAGTAATTTGTCCAAAATCACAAAACTGAACTATTGAGCAGACTGAGGATGCGAATGCTGGCGATCTAACTCCAGGGTTCCTGCTAACTAGAGAGGCACTGCCTCCTTGTGGAAACAGGGTACTCTTCGCTCGGCCCATTTGGCAAAAAATAAGTGTTCCACGTTAATCCACAAAAAAAGGGCCTCTTGCCTATCTAAGGTCTACTCAGGGCAACCAAGAAAGTCCGACTGGGGAACTAGGCCCAGTCCTATGTCCCCGTTCTCAAGGCCGAACTAACCGAGATACAACAGCTCTCCCACCTCTCACCTGTTGCCTCAGTCTCCCAAGCTCTCTCTGCATATCTTCCACTAGGATCACCGCTTCCTCGCCGCTCTCCGGATGCAGTTCCTGCACCCTGCTCTGGATCTCCTGGGGCAGGATGGTCAGGAACTGCTCCAGCACCAGCAGCTCCAGGATCTGCTCCTTGGTGCGCAGCTCAGGCCGCAGCCACCCATGGCAAAGCTCCTGAAGCCGGCTGAGGACTTCCCGGGGACCAGCGGCATCTTGGAAGCGAAACCGCCTGAAGCGCAAGTGGGAGGCCTCTGGACTGGGCCCTGGGTCAGGCGGGGGCAGCTCTTGGCTCCAGGCGCAGTCATCCTCCAGTTTCACTATGAGGAGTCCTTCCCGTTCCTGGGAGCCCGGGCCCGACGCCATCCTCAGACCCTAGAGCGCTTTGGTCCTGAAACCAGTGCGCCCGAGTGAGGACGGCGCCCTGACCCCAGTGCAAAGAAAGGCGGCGCCGGCAGGACCCCGGGAGCCGAAAGCGCCAAATTCCGGCCGAGGAGCCCGGCTCCCGCCCGGACGCAGCCGGAACCCACAACTTGGTCTCACTCGGTCCCGAGAGCCAAGCACCGACCCCCTGGACAGCCGCGCCAGGACTTCCTGAGCCACGACCCGAAAGTCGCGCAAGAACCAGCTGAGAAGCTACGCAGGACTCGGCACCCACGCCGGAAGTCCCCGCGCGCGAATTCGGCGTCCACAGCCGAAGCGCCTGCTCGGGACCACATTCCG